TCTGCAGCCAGAGGGCAGTGCTGAGGCTGCCGCATCCTGACGCCTCGGGTGGGCTCCTGACCCCTCGGGTGGGCTGCTGCCCGCAGCTCCCAGAGGAAGACCATGGCCCAGAGAGGTCGCCACAGGCAGCTCAGCGGAGCGCAGACTCTGCAGCCAAATGCCTGGTCCCACTCCCAGCTGTGCCTTCTGCCAGCTCTGGGGCCTGGCAATGCCCCCGTGCCCTCATCTGCAGGAGGAGCAGGAAGTGGCGGCTCGGAGGGTCCTGAGGTAAGTGACTTTCCTTCCTGAGTCTGCGGCCAGAGGGCAGTGAGACTTTCCTCCGGCACTTTCCTTCCTGAGTCTGCGGCCAGAGGGCAGTGCTGAGGCTGCCGGATCCTGACCCCTGGGGTGGGCTCCTGACCCCTCGGGCTTGAGAAGAACTGAGAGCCTCCCCTCCCACCCGCCCGCCTGCCCTGAGGATTACCCCCAATTGGATGTGGGATTACGGGCTCGGGGTGCCATCTTCTTAGAGGTGACACCTGTCTCTTGAGACAAACAAATTTCGTCCTGAGCAGCTGGCAAAGCCAGGACTTGGCTTTGAAGACAAGGGTTTTCGCCTCAGCACGGGCAGGCCGGAGGGGGGACATGGGCCTTTGTGGGCACTGCCACCCGCCAGCCACCCCCCTTTGGCCACCTGAGCGTCTGGTTCACTTCACTGATGGGACGATGGTCTGACAGCTGGTGAGCACAGCCCCGGACACAAGTCCAGGAGCCATGTCCTGAGGGTGATCTGCTTCCTGAAATCCCCCCACAAGTCCAGGAGCCATGTCCTGAGGGTGATCTGCTTCCTGAAATCCCCCCACAAGTCCAAGAGCTATGTCCTGAGGGAGATCTGCTTCCTGAAACCCCTCCCCCCCCCCCCCCACACACACACACAAGTCCCAGGAGCCATGTCCTGAGGGAGATCTGCTTCCTGGAAATCCCCCAAGTCCCAGGAGCCCGGAGGTTCCACCTGCAGGTCCGCAGAGGGCAGAGGGCACATTGACTGGGCGCCCCAGTGCCCCACAACTTCAGCGCTGGGACCAAGGTGGTGGGCAGCTGCAGGTGCCACCCTCTCCAGCCCCTTGGTGTGCCCATCCCTGCGGTGGCCCTGCTGCCTCCCTGCAGGCCCTCAGCAGACGTCCGGGCGGCACATCCTGGGCTCCTGTCTCAGCAGCCTCTTCCCTGGCCGAGCAAACACAACAGCGGCAATGAAACAAAATCACTGTCCCCCCCCAGCCATGAGGAGGCAGCGTGGCGTCAGAGGGGCAAGTAACCAACCAGGCGAGCCTTTCCCTCCAGCTCTGCAAACAACTCGTTTCCTCCCAGGCTGCCTTGCGCCTGCGTTTCCTTCTGTCTCAGACCGAATTGCGCCAAATACCGGAGTTCCCGCATCGATGTCCGCCCCGGCCGGCCAAGCCTGTGGGTCTCCGCGCATTTCCTTCTATTCCCCAGATTCCTAGTGCGTCCTTCTGCAGAGATGCTTGGTTTTTAAAATTAATTTGCATGTTAGTACTTAAGTACAATGGAGGGAATGAACATATTAACTTGTATTAAATACCCGATACGGACAGTGCTGCAGTAACTGCTTTTTCGGGCATTAGCATATGGGATTCTCACAGCAATGTCCTGAGGGTGGGATTATCAGCTCCATTTACAGACGAAGACACTGAGGCTCAGAGAGGTTCCATGTCTTGCTTCAGCTCACACAGCTAGTCAGTGAAAGCTAGGAACCAAACTCAGTTCCTTCCTTCCTTCCCTCCCTCCTTCCTTCCTTCCCTCCCTCCTTCCTTCCCTCTCTCCTTCCTTCCTTCCCTCCTTCCTTCCTTCCCTCCTCCTTCCTTCCCTCCTTCCTTCCTTCCCTCCTTCCTTCCCTCCTTCCTTCCCTCCTTCCTTCCCTCCTTCCCTCCTTCCCTCCTTCCTTCCCTCCTTCCCTCCTTCCCTCCTTCCTTCCCTCCTTCCTTCCCTCCTTCCTTCCTTCCTTCCTTCCTTCCCTCCTTCCCTCCTTCCTTCCCTCCTTCCTTCCCTCCTTCCCTCCTTCCTTCCTCCTTCCTTCCTCCTTCCTTCCTCCTTCCTTCCTTTCCTTCCTTCCCTCCTTCCCTCCTTCCTTCCCTCCTTCCTTCCTCCTTCCTTCCCTCCTTCCTTCCCTCCTTCCTTCCCTCCGTCCTTCCCTCCTTCCTTCCTTCCTTCCTTCCTTCCTTCCTTCCTTCCTTCCTTCCTCCTTCCTTCCTTCCCTCCTTCCTTCCTTCCTTCCCTCCTTCCTTCCCTCCTTCCCTCCTTCCTTCCCTCCTTCCCTCCTTCCTCCCTCCCTTCCTTCCTTCCTTCCTTCCTTCCTTTCCTCCTTCCCTCTTTCCCTCCTTCCTTCCTTCCCTCCTTCCTTCCTTCCCTCCTTCCTTCCCTCCTTCCTTCCTCCTTCCTTCCTTCCTTCCTCCTCCTTCCTCCTTCTTCCTTCCTCCTTCCCTCCTTCTTTCCTTCCTTCCCTCCTTCCTTCCTTCCTTCCATCCTTCCCTCCTTCCTCCTTCCCTCCTTCCTTCCTTCCTTCCTTCCTTCCTTCCTTCCTTCCTCCTCCTTCCTCCCTCCTTCCCTTCCTTCCCTCCTTTCCTTCCTTCCTCCTCTTCCCTCCTCCTTCCTCTTCCCCTCCTTCCCTCTCCCTCCTTCCTCCTTCCTCCTTCCTCTCCCTTCCTTCCCTCCTCCTTCCTTCCTTCCTTCCTTCCCTCCTTCCATCCTCCTTCCTTCCTTCCTCCTTCCCTCCCTCCTTCCTTCCCTCCTTCCCTCCCTCCTTCCTTCCCTCCTCCTTCCTCCTTCCTTCCTTCCCTCCTTCCTTCCTTCCTTCCCTCCTTCCTTCCTTCTTTCCTTCCTTCCTTCCTTCCTTCCTTCCCTCCTTCCTTCCTTCTTTCCCTCCTTCCTTCCTTCCCTCCTTCCTTCTTCCTTCCTCCTCTCACTATGTCAGATTGAAGGGATCCTATTTAAGTGTGAAGCAGGGCTTTCTGGAAGGCTCTCCCACTCAGCCGCACTGACCCTTGGCCTCGTCCCTGCCACCCTGGACACGGCATGCACACAAATGCACAGCGAGGCCCGAGGTGCTCTGAGCCTGCAGCCAGCACCCAGGGCGCCATCAAGCGGCCCCCCTGAACTGTGGACCAGACCTTCGTTCTCCAGCCTTCATCTCCGCTCTCTCCCAAACCCTCCTCCTTCAGCCCTTTTCACCCCAACTGTCCCAGCGGGTCTCCTGGGCTTTCATGAGGCCAGAACCTCACAGACTCGGGCCCCAGGGGTCTCAGGGGTTGGCTGTTCTTCAGACACCTGAACTGGAGGCAGCGGAGAAAGGGCTGCTGGCTGTGGGTGGGCCCAGGATGGGAGCTGGGAAGGCGTTTCACACCCAGGCCCGGTGACCCAGCTGTGAACCAGAGATCGGATGTCCAGGCCGCAGCCTTGGCCGCCACGCTCACTGGGCCGTCACGAGACTGGCCCCAATCACCTGAACTCGACCTCTTCCAGGATCACAGCCACAGCCCACACCCCTGCGTCCAGGCGGCCACCGCCCACCGTGACGTGCATCTGCGTGATGAGCCCACCCCACCCAAGGGGCAACGACCATGTCGCATGCACATCTGTATCCCGTGCCTGACAGCGCGCTTGGCTCAGAACCACCACCTGTGCCCCCTGAACGCATGGGCAGCCCCGGGCCTGACGCCGCCAGGAAGGACCACTGCACCTGCCCACAAGCGTCCTGCCCAGCGCAGCATGGACGAGCTGCCGCCTGCCCGCACGGAGTCAGGGGAGCAGGGTCTTTTCCTCCTCCAGACTGGACAAGAATTTCTGCTTTGTCCTGCCTGCCAGCAGCACGGGCAGGACAGGAGCTCCAGGGCCCGGGGCAGGCGCTGCCGCCACCAGCTGACGGGGAGAGGCCAGCCGGTCAGCTGTCCGTTCCATTCACTCAGGCCGGGCAACTGTCAGGGAATCCCAGGCCTTGGGGAGTGTGTCTGGGGGATGGGTTGCCAGCCAGCCCCACCCCAGGGAAGTGAGGACAGTGACCCTGGCTGGGAATTGGCGACAGCAGGGGAGCGACCAGGGCGATTAGCAAAACAAAAGGCAAGAACACAGGAGGGACAGCACTGCAAATTAAAGCTCGTGTTTGCTTTTAGAAATCTACTTTTCAATACAGCAAGCTCTTGTTCTGAAGTGTCCTGGAACCCTCAGCAGACGCGGTCCTTCCCTCTCCCCTTCTCCTCACTGCGATCTGGGTGTTCTTTAACTCTCCACTTCACATACACACACACACTCACACACACACAGTCACACACACTCACACTCACACACTCACACACACACTCACTCACACACAGTCACACACACTCACACTCACACACTCACACACACTCACACACACACTCACTCACACACTCACAGTCACACACACTCACACTCACACACTCACACACACATTCACACACTCACACACTCACACACACACTCACACACTCACACACACTCTCACACACTCACACACTCACACACACTCACACACTCACACACACTCTCACACACACACACTCACACTCACACACTCACACACACTCACACACACACACACTCACACACTCACACACACTCTCACACACTCACACACACTCACACACACTCACACACACTCACACACTCACACACACTCTCACACACACACTCACACACACACTCACACACTCACACACACTCTAACACACTCACATGCCGCTGCAACAATGTGCAGCTTCCAGCTGGTCTCCCATGTGCAGACCCGCATACGCTCCCCCGTGCTCTCACTGGGATGTGCAAAAGCACCATCACCCACGGCCATCTCTCCCCTCTCTCGTGCACACGCACACTGACACGCAAGCACAGTGCACATGCATGCACACATAAAGGATTCAATACTAATCCCGTTAGCGGTCCCCCGTGTCCCCTCCATCTCCCCAGGACAGTCCAGAAGGTGCCACACTCACCGCCAAAGCTGGTGGGGAACTTCATGAAGTGAGGATAATTCCCGTACATGTTTACTCTCCACTCATAGTCCTCGCTGCCGGGTCTCTGAAGATCGCGGCTCCCCGCCCCAGGCACGGCCGTGCCCTTCAACTCGGGCGCCCAAGAGTGGTCATCGCCACCCCGCACCCGGCTGCGCGGGCTGGGCCAGCCCTCGGGGATTAGCCAGGAATCCGCCTCTCAACTGGGGCGGCCGCATAGCGCGCTGGAGCCGACCGGCAGCTGGTGCCTGTCAGTAATCACGCATAATGCCTCCGCGCGCCGCTGCCGCCCTGAGATCCTGTTGCTGGTTTGATTAACTCGGCTGGGCTGCAGCGCTGCTCCCAGCTCCCTTCGGTCCCGGGGGTCCTCCTGGTGGCGCGATCTATTATCCAGGAAGGATCGATGTGTGACCGCCCCACCACAGGTCAGGAGAGGGGGGAGGTGGCAGGGGATGGAAGACTCTTTAGGTGCCTTTTCCTTGACTTGCACCCACAAAAATCAATGGGTTTTATTAAAATGCATTTTCTCAGTTCGGCTGCTCTGTGTCCGATGTACTTGCGATAGGACCTGAGAGCAGCTGTGGGAGGGGCAGCGATGGGAGCCGGACTAGAGCCGCCCCGGGTCCCGAGGGCTCTCCTGAGCGGCCGAGGCACTGGCTCTCACAGGGGAAGCGAGACAAGGGCAGCGGAGGCTCTTGCTCACCTCACACAGGGGTTGTTCACTGACCTTGCCCTGGAGGGTGCTCACCTCCACCCTGTCAAAGCACCGAGTCCTCACTGACACAGACACTCCCTTGGGTGGGACCAACCCACAAGTCAAAGTCCAGGTATCCCTTAGGCATCTGGCCTGGGATGCAGCTTTCCTGACCAGCCACTGCTCAGCCTATACTTGACCACCTCCAACGAGGGGGGCTTCCTCCTCTCCCACTCCATTTCTGGGCAGTTCTCACCATGAGAAAGGGCTTTATGGAGCTGAGATCTGCCCCTGCCCCTGCAGCTCCCGCCCACAGGTTCCAGGCACCTCCCTGGAGCCACACAAGAGATGCTGGGGGGTTGTCAGGGCGGGATCTTCTGCAAATTCAGACACAAACCTCATGCCCGCAGTCTATGTCCTCCTGGCATGCTCGTCTTCACATCCCATCGTCCCCGAGCGCCCAAGGGCACTGGCGACCCCTCCTTTCTCTGTGCTGCACGTTAATTCACAGAGCTGCCCGCCCTCCCCGGGGAAGCAGGGTGCCCCGACTTGGATGCGACTCTTCTCCTGGTGCTGTGTGTGTGGGCAGAGCTATGGGGGCACTGTCAGGCCCCCGAGGGGTCAGCTGAGCCCTGACACTGGAACAAGGATCCGAGGGTTTCTCCTGCACGGCCTTGGACAGAGCGAGCCAGGGAGGGAGGTCAAGTCAGGGGCCCAGGGGAGAAAACCAAGACTCCATGGCTAGGAGGACCCAGGACAAGTGAAGAGGAAAGAGCCAGAGCAGGGACGACGTCGGGGGCATTAGCCCCACAGTTAACTCCTGTCAAGCGAACCTGACACCCCAGGTCTGTCTCCCTTAGCCACAGTCTGCCCCCCATTCCTGGGCGTCGGCTCGGAGGCCAGCGTGCACCTCCCTCGCTCCTCTGCCATGAAATCCGGGTCCACGCACCCTCCCATCATCCGGATCCGGCTGTTTCTTCCAGTCTGTTTCTTATGCCTCCCCATCCATGGCTTCTGAGGATCCTGAGCCGCCTTCCATAGTTCATCCGACTCATGGGTAAAATGCTGAAAGGACACAGCAAGGACCACGTTTTAGAGCCCGCCACCGCTATGTCCACTCGCCAGTGCCGGGCCCTGTCCCTCCATGTTCCCTGGCCTGGCCTGGCGAGGTTGGGTCTGTAGAGAAAGCACCAGTGCAGAAGCCAGCGGCTGGACGCGAGTCCCAGTCCACCGCTGACCGCCTCACCACACTGGCCAGTCCCCCACGCGGTGACCGCATGGGTATGTCTTGAGGATCTAATGAGTCCACACCTAGAACCACCTAGAATACACCAGAGCACAGCAAATGCGTGCACGCTCTTTCCATGATGATGGTGCTGACGTACACGCCTTATCTCCTTTGCTCATTTGTAACCTGTCCGAGCAGGGCTGGACGATTCCAGAGCCTCCTTCGCCCTCAAATTCAACTCGAATGAATCCAGCACCCATGGCACAGCAGCCCATTCTCCCCACGGAGGTCTCAGAAACACGTGTCTTAGTGACGCACAAACCGCGTTTCCAGCGTCCACCCGGCAAGGGCGGAAGCACGCTGTCCCGGCACACGTGGCCTTTCGGTGAACCGGTGCTGCAGGGCTCTTTCCGGACTCCACGCCAGCCTTTCACACGGGCTCTCCAGGGCCTCGTCCGAGGGCAATGTCACCATGACCTGCTTGGTGGTGGGCTCGGTCTTCTTCCCTTTGATAGGTGAGGTGCGTTTTCACAGAATGAAGCCAGATTCCTCAGCCTGGCGTGGAGACACCTCCCGTCCTGGCCTCTCTGGCAAGTGCTCTGGGACAGCCACCCCCAGGCCCACGGACACACGGCTCCACCTCTCCAGCCCGTGACCTTGGCGAGCGAGCTCACTCGCCACGGAAACACCCGCGCCGCCACCTCCCTGAGGCTCCTGGGTTTCCTTTTGGTTTCATGGCTCAGGCGTGATGATGGCTGCGCGTGTGTTCTGTTGGGGGCTGGTTCGGGGCTGTTTGTTTTAGACTGTAAGGAAGTCACACTCTCTTGGCTTTCTCTCTTCCCTTTCTCTGTCAGTCGCTTCTGGTCTGGATGCTTCGCTCACGGTGGGAGCACTGTTGGTTCACTCCAGCTTCTGGTTCGTTGTTCATGCCGTTGGCCTTGTCCCGCCTGTGCCCCACACCCATTGTTTTCCCACATAAATGCTAGAACCGCTGGTAGGTGCTTGACAAATATTTTTTCGTTAGGAAATGCTCGACGTGCTTATCCCAGAGCCTCCCTTGTGACACCTTCCATCTGGCCTCACAGCCCATAACAAGCCGTGAGCTTTGCGAAGGCCAGGAAGCCTGACTGCGGCTTTGGTCTTTAATCCGCACGTTCTGCATGGCACCGCTGTGTCTTGTCCCAGACCATTGTTGACATAACAACGTGATCCTCCCAGAAGCGGTTCCCAGGCCGCCCCCGGCATCAGTCACTCGCTGTCTCCAGCTGTTCCTGAATTCTCAACCGACAGGCCAAGCACACGGTCCCCGGCCAGATGAGCACGTTCACTTACAAGGATGCTGGGCTCATGACTGTGGGGTCCTCCGATGACCTAGTCCTCTCAGACACCACGCTCTGCTTCTGTCGATGCCATCCGCATCCGGTGAGCACGGAGGTCTGCCTGCATCTTCGCTGGTGTGTTCAATGCAGGGGCAGCCTGATACGTTACCCTGGTAACTATACCTTCACCGCTGGTCCCATTCCTGGGTTCATTGTTTTGCTTTGGACCAGGGGCGATAGAAGATAATATTTCGCAACAAACGTGAATGAAAAGCAGAGTCATCGATTTGATAATGGCCGCCAGCAGGCGTTAGAGGCAGTATCTCCACAGCATTGACAGACTCCTGGCCTCCATGTGAGGTGCTCGGCCTGGGCACCGGAACGTCAGGGTTTGATGGGCTTCCCCAAACACTGAACTTAAGCCGGGCAGACGTAGCAGCTCATGTTACAGACGAGGAATGAGAGACCACGCTGTGAGGGGGAGAAGGCAAGAGGCTACTCAGCCAAACTCGACTTAGGTTGTGATCTCTCCCAGCCAGGACGTGGCAGAAATGGGTATGACAGCCAGGCCCCACTTGCTCTCAGCCACTGTGTCTGTCACCAAGCAGTGATCCTTCTGTCATTCATATGTTTCTATTATATATGTGGGTGCCGGGCGTCTATAAATCACTGTTCCTCTTTTCTGGGATTCATTCATTCACTCACTCATTCAATGATCATTCAGCCAACACGTACGGAGGGCTTCTTGCATGTCAGTCCCTGGGGACAGGCTGAGGGACCAGACACACCAAGGCCCTGGCCTCAGAGAACATGCGCAGTCGGGGGAGGAGATGGACAGCAGCCCATAGGCACAGACACAGATGCATCACTGCACATCCCATACATGTGTGCCAGGAAGGGAAATAATTGGCTGAGACGAGAGACTATGGCAGGGAATCTAATTTAAATGGAAAGGTCAGGGCAGACTTCTGTGAGGAAATGACAGTTATGCTCAGGTGGAAAGGATGAGTAGGGCTGAGTCTGAGGGGGAGTGGACCAGGCGGAGGTGCAGAGGGCCTGACGGCCTGTGGAGGGGACGATCTCGGTGCATTCGGGGGGCCAGCAAATGTTCAGGTCTCCCCTCCAGAAGAGGGGCCGTCAGCAGCTGCTGGGGCCATGGTCTCACCACCATTCTGTGTCCACGAGGCCAGTCAGCTCTGCGCCACTGAGAACCACGCTGCCTGGCTTCATCTCCCCCTCACGTGCTGGTCAAAACCAGATGACTTGCCATTACCCAGTGGTGACCCCAGGGCCCCTCACGGGGGTGTTCACCCCGCTCTTCTGCTCAGGGTGGCCTCCCTCCCTCTGCTCTGTGTCCAAGTCCCACCCGGGCCCCAAGGCCATTCTCAGGGGCCTCAGGTGGCCCTCTGGGAGCACTCTGTCCGTGAGGTACCCACAGTCTGTGGCCGGGCCCCACCCAGTCACCCCACATGCTCTTCCTTGGACTGTCATTGCGAATGCACCTGAGAGCCCGCTTACTGAACAGCAAGCCGTGGGTGCCAGGCCACGGGGCCAGTCATTTTTGTTGCCCAACAGCCATTACAATAGAGTCTGACACAGAATAGAAATCCCGTACATGTGTGACTAATGAATGGATAAACGGTCATTGATTGTGCGGAGATCTACAAGGCCACTCGTGGGGGTGAGTGTCCCTAGGTACCCGCACGTTGTACAGCCCACGTGCCATTTTCACGGGCGCCTTCTCCTGGAATCACAGGTGCTTGTGTGGACAGGATTGCACTGGCGCGGGCGCGGTACATCCACCTGGGCGGCTGAGGTCCTCAAAGGACAGAAATGATTCAGAAAGAGTGCTGGCTGGTGGTGAGCGAGGCTGCTCAGCCGGCAGGAAGAATGGGGCCGGCCCTGGCCAGGTGGCTCAGTTGATTAGAGCATCATCCCATACACTGAAAGGTTTCAGGTTCGATCCCCAGTCAGGGCATAAATGGGAGGCAACTGCAATCAATGTTTCTCGCTCACACCTCTCTCTCTCTCTCTCTCTCTCTCTCTCTCTCTCTCTCTCTCTCTCTCTCATCAAGAAACATCTCTTCGGGTGAGGATAAAAACAGAGAGATTTCCACGAGGCCTGAGATGTGTCCAAAGACACATGCTGTGTCTACAAGGTGCCACCGACAGCTTTGCCACCAGGGGTGTTATTGTCAGAGCTATTTGCTCATCGCCAGTGAGCTCCCCTGAGGTGCGGTCCCCACACTTGTCTGCACATTCGAAACACCCTGGAAGCTTCAAACATGCTGAGGCCTTTGTCCACTCCCAGAGGTGATTCCGTTGGTCCGGGGCTGTGGTCAGGGTTTCGGAACTGTTATCAGAGCCCACGTGACTCTGATGTGCAGATTGAGGGGAGAGAACCTTCCTACAACAGGATGCTGGGAAGGGTCCATCCGCAGAAATGAGAACCGCCTCCTGCAGTGAATGCCTGACTCCCGGGTGCTCTGGTTGCCGCCTTTCCATATCTAACAGCTACGACATGAACTGTTCTGGTCATTTCACCCTCCCTTACGGTCATGGGCACACTAAGCTGCCGGCCGGCTGGTTTCTGATATGGGGATGACTGTTTATTCATATCCCTGCCGACAGCTGCTTCGGACGAGTGACCATCTTCATGCC